TTTTTCAGTAGACAATCCATCCTGCAGCAGTCGGTATCAAAAAAAAGACAAGGTCCTCAAGTTTCGGCAGAAATATACACGCCATGCCGAACACCTTCAAAATTGACTGGTGTAAAGTAATAAACTAAATGGAAGAAATGCTGCGATCTAGACAATACTTGGATGTGGGTCACATAAATGAGCAACAATTGGGTAAGATTTGGTGTGGTTCATCCAAAACGGCTCTGACGCGGGCGATTCAAGTTAGAAATGGTGCCTGAAACTATGTATTATGTTTATGTTTGTTATATCAAACTAGTGGCAAGCTGTGTATTCCAGTAGGAATAGGTCAACGGACTGGATTGTGTGGAGTTAACGTCCACCTTTGCGTGCTGAAATTCTCCCACCTAGACTCTTAATAGGGATTCCCCACCAGGGTTAGGCTAATACAAAGGATAAAGGATAAAGCGTTGAGTAGTTTCCTCGGATATGGCATGCAATCCGACTCCATTCGTAGCGTCGCAGAGGTGGTTGAATACGTATGCGGCTTGTGAAATTGCGGTGACCTTCTAATGCATCGAACCTACGTTCTTTTCCTATTAAACAGCTCTGGTAGCAATTTTCGAACCCAGAGAAAGAGATGGTTTGGTTTGCCTGGTAGGGGGAATGGACCATAGATAGACCACTTACAACCAATGCGCTACACTCAATCCATGCCCTATAGTAGTTATAATTTACTGACGCTCCTTCAAATAGGCTGTCCACTTTGGTAACGCATCCATACCGCCTAAAATCCTCTGGCATCATTCTTGTAGTGACAGGGGAAAATCCTGTTGGCAGCTAATTCATTAAAGTCGTTCATGCGGGTCTTCTTGATAGGCAGAACAGAAAGATGGTCTTTAATAGTAATCAATTAAGCCCGAAGTCAACATGAAATGATTTAGCTAGGTCTATGATAGCATAAGCATTCTCTTTAGCGCAAAGATCAGTTAAAATCACAGGAAAACGTACCGTGAACGTGGGTCCTCGGAATGGCTACCGAACGAAACATAGTGAGATAAAACTAGTTTTGAATAGGTGTTTTTGCTGTTTTGCAAACGTTGAAACGCGAGTGTGTGTGTTCCAATACACAAAGAGTTTAGCATAAAATATGACATGCATTGAGCTCGAAACATCTGATAGTGAAATAATGGCCGCAAGGAGCATATCTCAGCTCATATTAAGCTTTATTAAACGAGGTAGAAACCACTAGATTCCGTAAGTCTTCGCCTATAATGCAGGCGTCCCATTATTCTAAATACTAAGTAGAAGTTTTGACTCACTGAATTCCACAAACGCATTTTTTCACCTTTTCTGGTGTCAGGGCTATTTTAACCAGCGAAGCAACTGAACAAGTTAGATTTTGCTTGTGCTGAAATCCTTCGAAAGTTAAGGTTCGTTTTCAGCTGTCTGTAAATTTTAATTCTAGATATATTTGGAATTGAAAGATTAAAGGATAACAAAAGGATAAAGCTCTCGGCGTTGGTCAATCCCTGAGGTATGCGCCATGAATCTTTATTAAGCATCGTTTGGAGGTGATTGGATGCATATCTGACCTTTACACGCGGTGGCCTGCCGATGTATCGAGCCAGTGCTGCTCTCCTCCTAGGCAAGTCTGGTACCAATTTGCCGACTCCGGAGGGATGGAAGGCATGATGAGCCACGGGTGCGAGGATCTACCCCATGTCTGTGTTGCAGGACGCCTCCGACCACGGCGCCACACGCGCCCACTGAAAGAATATTGTATAAAAATTACACATGCGACTAGAATGATAGAGAAATGTTTCCCTTAGAAGTATTCGGTGTTATGCTTGACAGTTTGTGTACTCCGTAACTTTAGGCAATCCTACCAGCTTGTTTTGTGGATTATGAAAAAAGGAACGTAAAGGGGGCTTTAGAATGTCGTTTCCATGAAAAAGGGCGACAGAATTTTGGGATAAGGTGCATAAGTGCAACCGTATGTCTAGTACTCGGGAGTGTTAGACTATGATTTAGTTGATAAATGGAGCTTTCGTTTTCTTCAGATTGGTTCCACTACGACTGGATATTGAATGTTTCCTCTTTAGAGTACTGAGTAGGCCAACAAATGCTGAGTTATATATTTGATTCTTTCGTGCATAAGACTCACTTTAGGTGCCATGTCGCACTTCCGGTCAGCTCTTGCTGTAAAGGTATTTCCGTAAACCTTAGTGGAGTGATATTTCCAATGGTAAAGAATTCTCTACTATGGGCAGAGAAATGTGCATTTTCAGTGAAAGGTGAAACGACTGACCCCTCTTTCGCGCACGGTCTCAAGGTCGCTGCATTCGGTTAACTAAGCAACTCAACACTCGTGAAAAGATGTATTGGTGGAGAAAGAGTTGTGGGAGAGGACGGTGAGGAGGTCAGAAAGGACACTTCATTTTCCTTCAAACCCGTCATACTGGCCGAAGTGCTCGTCGACGATGTTTTCAGATGTTCGTTAGTAACTGTTGTATCGAAAGAGAACAATTCTAGCAGGAGAACCGTTGAAGTCGTACCATTTAAAAATCTGACAAATTTATGAAAGTTTTGAAACGACTGACAAAGCTCTTCCGGGAAAATTCCAAACAACATTAGTGTGTGTGGCACTGTTATGGTGACGAAACGTTTTGCTATTTTTGACGTTTTAACACTTAGCTGCAATAAAAAGGAAGTTTACGCATTAACACTGCTGAGAAAGGGTGATTTGTCATGGAGAAACACTTTTCCATTAACCTTAGTGCTTGAATTATCGTTGAATACAAGAAAGTAAACAAAGGACAGTGTCCTAACCCTCAAGTCATATACACTTTAACGGTCAGTACAAATCAGTAGCCCTAAAAGTTTTTCTAAGCTCTTAACAATAGTCCATTTATACACTAACAGATTATGAACCTAGTACACTGTCTGGAGAAAAGATACCATTCGCAATCTTTGGACATTGTTATGATTACCTGGTTCAGTTCCTCACCAACAGTGCCCCCACCCCTGTTTGTCTAACTTCACGTTGATGACGAGTGAAGCGTTGCTCCTTGTGGGAAATGTGGTGTGCAATGTCTTGAGGAAGTGGGTGACGTCGTTTCGGGAATTGCAGAGTGGACTCCCACATGGGGAGTGCACGGAGACCGCACGTGCTACGCCGACTGCAGTCCATCGAGTTGGGTCGGTCGATGTGGTCACCTCAGTGATGGATCTGACGGGGAAACTTGCTGTTTGGTATCGAGTTCTCGCGTAGAATCCCGACATCCGATAAGGTCACTAAATAAAACGGAAAGCTGTTTCTCTCTGTGGTCGTTTGTTTCCATATTTTCTATGTTGAGCGTTTATACTGCCATTTAGTTTGTTTGGCGAACACATAATTAAAATTTCATTCCTTCGTTGTATGAAATTTGTTGAAATTCTGGACTGGAAAGCGATGAATCACAAAACCATACAGAATACCAATGAGACTGGCTTTTCCACACCAATATGACTATTTTCTGCTATTAAACATTTTTTTTCGCTCTGTTTTTATCCTATATCTTTTTTGCAAGCAGTGAATTATGATGAGCCGAGTGGGTTAGCCTGATTCACAGGGTTTTACGGCTTTTTTCTAAACAATAAGGGAAACGATTTTCCATTGATGTTTCTATCAGGAAGCCTAGCTAAGAGTAAACCAATACCAAGATCCACAACCGTCCTGGTATCAAAGTCGCATGGTAGCAAATCTCCCTCTGATCCACAAGAGCTGCGACTGCCCGCGACGGTGAAGACCTGAGATAGACTTTGAGGTTGACCTAGGGATTCCAGGGAACCACAATGGCTAAATCAGCAAATCTCCGAGAAATGGAGATCATGCTGGGGTCAGCACAACCAGTGAGGACGGGCCGTTCAAGTATTAAGTATCAAGTGACACGTTCACCGCCACACCATAAGTAAGTAATCAGGGAAACCCTGTTGTTCTCAGTTTAGACTAGCCATGATAACTTATAGAACATACTTGCAGTAGAGTATTACCGCACTTACAGTAGTAGGAGACTTCAAAATCGCACGAATAATCCCAGTTGAAACCTTGCACTGCTAGTCGTTACTGAACAACGTTGACAAGCGCCTTTTTAACAATCAAAGTAAATTAGTTCAAATTAGAAATCATAGCTGATCCATTCGAGTTTTCTTCTATGTGGTTGTTCTTGGATCTATAAAAATAAAGGATTTCTCGTAAGACTGCAGTTTAAACTAGAGTGATTAGAGGAAAAAAGCGCTCCGCGTTCTCGTTCTTGCGGGAAAATAAGCAAAACTAAAGATGTTAAACATTACATCTACGTGTCGTTGTTCATGGCGGAATACAACTGGACCCATACAGATAACGAAGAACTTTGGTTAGAGTACGTTTTCACATATATGGAGAACTTCTACAAAAACGAAACCTTGATATGTTTGGCGCTCACGGTGTTGATCATTCTCAATGAGATTCAGCACCACAGACTTTCAACACATCAGGACTCTTCATGGATAGGTCTGTTACCATTCGACTCAGCAAACACTTCACGCTGATAAACCTTGTTAGCATAAAGCTGCATTCTAGCCAATTGAGGCAGTTTGTCCGCTAGTACCCTTTTGGCAATGAGCTACCGATTCCCTTGTGAATTATCACCAGCAAGAACTTTAATCAAAAGATATTGGAATTACATGATTACCGATTAGTAGGTGATAACAACTCGACCAATCTGCCTCTTCACCAGATTTAAGCTTTTCCTACGAGCTCAAATAAAGCGTTGTGATGGGAACCCCGGTTGTCCATCGTGAAAATTCGCAACTTGATCTTAATAGGCTTTATAGATGCGAATGGGGTCACCTCTCATGTACAGTACTTAGGTAAGTTAAATTTGTGGGGATAGGACTTTTCTTCTTCCAGGATGTCTTCTGTTTTCTACCTAGGTCACATAGAAATTTCGTAAATGATTGTTACTGTGCCATATTTTTATTGAATTTCTGATTCACAGATGGCAATAGAGGAATGTGATGGCTTATTCAAAGTAAATTCATTCAAATCTGTTCACACACTACACATACGGATACAGCAACAAGAAGTCGATATGGATCAGACGATGAACACGATAAGCCTTAGTCAGAGGTAGCAGAAAATCCAGAATTGTGACACGACGACCGTTGCTAGCAATCCGGAAAGCTTCCAGTGTGACATTTTCTCACCAGATTTTTCGAAAAATCGCCAAGGATTTGTTGATTTTAAAAAGGTATTTGGTTGAAGAAGAAACAGAGTATCTTTATTGTCAGACTGAGTGCATGGCAAGTTTAATTCTTTTAGTTAAATTAATTTTACGCCAATATATGACATCACCTTTCTATCGGCGATTGTGTGCTTTTTGCTGAATGCTATATTACTAGCGGTGTTCAGTATAATGAGATGAGTCACTGAGGAGATTTTTAGTGATGAAATAGATAGTGCAAACGATGCATGAAAAAGAGTGAGCGCCAACCTTTATCCTATCAATATTTTGCCCAGTAGTTGCGCGTACGGATTTGTGAAACGCAAAAGACAATTGGCGGTGGTTGGAAAAGAGTTTCTGAGGTGAAGAACGAGCTCAGTACAGCCGCTATACTGCCAGAATAATGCTGAACTCCGGAAGTTGCCCGGAAGGAGAGAAGCGATTTTCTTGGCTCACTCGAAGAAAAAGGCACCACTGCCTACGCCAACGACCCGTCCGGCCCGTTGTGGTGGGGCGGAGTCCGGTGTGGCGGCAAAGCGTTTATAAATGACGCTGTTCACAGCAGTAATCCATCGACAGTCTCTAAGAAGTTGTGGAGCTCTAGGAGGTCTGACTCACAGAATCCTCCTGAACTCTCCTTCACCTCTTTTCAGAACGAACGCATCTATAATGCCTCACACCAGCTTCTTTCTGAAGACATAGTCCTCAGATCTCCTCATTCTGCTTTTCTCTTCCTCTATTGCTGCCCTTCTTCTTCATTTCTGGTCCTTTTGGATGGCTTCATGCGAAATTCTGTTTCCTAGAAATTCCTGAATTTTTCCGTTTTACAGCAATTGGTAAAAAGCAGTCAACCTATCCAGTGAACGCTACGAGGTCTCTCCCTGGATTTATTGTTTTGTGATGACTTTCGTACATTTTTGCAGGCCAAGCGAATTTATCCAAATTCTCTGTGCGGAATTGTTCATTGTTCAAAACATAAAGCTAGAGCTAGAGCTGGCTGTACTTCTCATAACACCCTACCGTGAAAAAATGATAGGGAGTAAATTAAAAGCACCTAGAGCTTTTTTCCGTTATCAGAGGCTTCAAGGTCCACTAGGGGTTTATAATTTTGGTGAGCCAACAACAAAATCAACACTAGAGAGGTGAAGCAAAACGAAAGGTATAGGAGTGTGAATGTAAGAGAGACAAAACAAGTTTGGAGTTTGATTAAAAGCTATAAAATTTCTAAGCACTTCCATTCGTAGAATTAGTGAAGTGTCCCCGGTTGTTTTCCTTTTCGCAAAAACAACCCAACGAGAATTTTTCGTGCAAGTCCCGCCCCTTTCATCGGTGATCAAAAACTGTAATCTTACTTCTCAAGTCTTTTTTTCAAGGTCTTCGTGTTGCTTTAAGTTAGAGACACTCGTCTAACGTGCACGAGAAATTGCTCATTGGTCGGATTTGACGAAATTTGTTCTTGTGAGAGAGTTTTCGCCGAAAATCCTCATAAAATCATCGTAAAGTTATGCCATAAAAGTTTCTTCACGCTAAAAAGGCAGACACAGTTTGAAGATGAATTACGTTCAATTCTTCACAGTTCACTATGGGTGACTGGCTCTTAAAGAGCTTCTCGAACAGCCTTATTGGATCGTAGACTTCAAGAGCTACCTCTACAGATTCGGCTTGCGCTTGCAAGCTGTCCGTTTTCAAACAAATAGAAATCTGCACCACATTCTGTCTTCGGAATACGCTCTCTCCATCTCATCGTGAGAAGTGGCTAAATGCCACTGACCTAGGTTTGACCTAGAGATAATTCGATGGCACCGTTCAGCACCGTCTCATTCACGACAGTACCAGTTGCACTGCAACCCGGAGCTTCTGCTCTAGCATACATCACTGACATTCATCGTGTGCTTCGTTATGCTCGTTCTTTCTTCATTGTTTTATTCTCGTCATACTAATAGAATTGCAGAGGAGTTATCGACATGCACACCTCGACATTACTCGCTCTCGTCGCAGTTATCGTCCAGGTATGGCAATTCCCACATTCTACAACTCATCGTGAAATATTAGGCGTTATTTTTAAGAGTTCTACGTAAATATTACGACGTATTAAGTCCAAATTAATCGTGGTAGGCGTTTGGTACACTTATTTTTATTCCTTCTGAAGAACTAAATTTCTTCTAAAAACCTTCCTGCACAACTGAAAAGGTCTCGCTATTCTTACATATTATGTGTTTGTATGTCCTGGACGTTTTAAGTAAGTTGTAACTGATCTATTTAGTGAAATGTTCGGAAAATTTCTTATACTCCTACGACGGTGATAGTGTTCAATAGCAGTGACGAAGTCATTGCATGCAGATTAGAAAGTTAGGACGAGTTGCCTCCAGTCAATTCTGTTCTAGGAAAAAATCACTGCTTCACCTAAGAGTGATTTGGTGTTAGAGGTGACGTTCATATATACGCAAATGGCCACCACACAGTGGTATCTCCCACTATCCTTCTCCAATTTTGATATAACAAAACTTTTTCAGTCCTGAGATTGATTGACTCTGCAGTGGTTAGAGGTGTTCTGCAATACACATTTATTTGTTGGTTCGGTCCTGCACCCTAGGCTAGTCAAACTCTCCGTGCCATCAGTCATTTATCTCTACGGTGCTGAATCGATTCGATTGCATGGCGCATCCTTAAGGAATATATCAACGACAAAAAAGTTTTATTTTTTACCGTTTATTCTTTATCTTGGTAGTACTTCACATTATCTATAACTATTGTTTTGGTTTGAAAGATGTGCGCTGCACTTGAGCCTTACATTTAATGACATATCAAGTGGAACAGATAGGTTGGCAACAAATGTCCCATTGAAAGGCTCTCAAGACCGATAATCGTTGATAGCAGTCGCTGACACCTTGTGCTCGGTCTCGAATTGGGGCCACTAGTCAGTTACATCATCAAGGACTTTACTCTGGTTGTTCTACGATCCACTGAACGCTCTGTTATTTCCTACACTAACTTTCACATTAACCCAATTTGCTGACACGATTGCGTAACGGTTGCCCTAACTGGGCATGAAGTTAATAAATTTAGAAAAAGACACATCAAATATTGATTAACAGTTAGACGTGGAAAAAAAACTTTGAAAATCGAATTTGGCGCCATTACATCCATCAGGCTGCCGTTTTTCTTAAATAGACGTTAAAAAGGAATTTGCCGTGTTTGAAGCTGTTGGAATAATGCAAAATTGAAGAACTGAAATAAGCGGATGCAGTAGAAATTAGAAATTCAAGGAAGGAAGGGATAAAGTGACTGGGGAAGAAATGCTGAAAAACGCAATCTCACCAGAAGTAATCAATGACATCTGTCGGTTACTTGAGTTGTCAGACAGTTAACCCTTCTATTTTTTTTATACGACCCGTCTTCCCGTCTAGTGTGCGGATCCCGGCTCTTCTCATGTTTGCTTCGTTTCCTTACACCCATCACCCACGAAGATCTTCCAACTTTTACGTGTAGCTTCGGCTACTGCTTAAGGATTTTCATTTTGTCTTGAATGTCGTAGAATGCTGGTCAAATCGATTCTTCCTGGAGTCCTGAGATAGCCGGGCTGGAGCGTTCCCAGTTAGATTGCAGAGATTGATTTTTTCCAGGCAGGTCCGATACAAATTTCCCGATCCAGGAGGGGTGAGAGGCTTGCTTGGTCTGGAGCGGAATCAAACTAGCACCATGCTAGTGATAACCGATATCATTACCACTGTGCTATCCACCCCAGTTAACGTTTTGCTAAAAATTAATCATTATTTTATCATTTGCCTGGTGATTCATCGTTTCACCATATAATGAAGACTTAAACACGTCTTCAACTCGTATTGGCACTATTCATATTCGAACATATTTCGCCCACCTTCACGAAAAATTTCAATCTGTCTGACATACTTATGGTTTGGTGGGACTTTTTTTCCCTGAGATTCTGAGAAGGCTGTGCATGACCGTTTCTATTTCTGTACTTTACAGAATAGCCAACCGTGTAAATCGAAGGGATTGCTGCTACTTTGCAATCACGTTTCCTCAGAAAGAACGACAACATACTTTACTCCTAGGCAGTTTTGGCCTCCGAAAGGATTTATCGAGTGCCTAAACATGGGAGGCACTAGTGAGAATAAGTACAGCATTTCGAGACTCCTAAGCGTTTTCCTCTATAGTAAGAAGGCAAGATACCAAGATTCAGGGCGAGGGAGTAGTTTTACACAATATTACAACATATTTTCACTCACTCCAAGTTAAACTTTCATTACAAATTTGCAACGACGGTAGGAAAGTGAAGGAAAAGGAAGGGGGAAGGCTTAGGGCAAAATTGGAGAAATACGCTATTTTATCATTTCTAACAAGTGCACGTTTCTGCAGAGTTCTGGCATATGTAATTCCAAATGTGCTCATTCTTATTGCGATGATCATACAAGGAAGTGTTCACCTTTCTATATAAGCACCATTGTCAACATGGTGACCAAAGGAGAATATCGCATGAAGGCGCAGATAGTTTTCCATACTTTCAACGAATATGTATATTATCTCACCTTATTCCCAGCTATCTTACAGATATCCACTTGACTGGTCATTCGTTCTCCTCCAGCAGTAACCATCCTATAAGTGTTTTGCCCTTAGGTAACTCCTTCACTGTAACGTAGTCTAATAATCCAAACTCCAGCGTAGGGCTTCATATTCTGCTGGTATAAGTAGAAAATACTTTTCTGTTGAGCTCCTTAATGTTGCGTTTAACTTTCGATTTGACCCAGTGCCGTCCTACTTTTTCAGTACGTTTAAATCGTCCTAACATTCGAAAATAAGAACAAAATCTGGACGAGCCATACTTATGAAATAAACTAAAATATATGGAAAGGTTTATGTTTCTGAGACCAAAGTTGTTTAGTGCACCTGGATCGTTCTAGGGAAAGGAGAAATCCTACATACACTTTCATTATATGGGGTTCTATTTTTGGCGCCTTTGACAATAACCTAACCATAGGTTGTTCCCCAAAGGATGCATTTGTATAGGCTTACTCCCAGTTGGGCTTCCATGAAAGTGGAACCCCTTGCCAGCTTTTGAAACGCTGATTAACAGGTCTCCAGCGTACATCGCATCCCAACTCTCATGAATACTTAAAGCCACGATAAAGCTGTAAACCAGTCTTATGAAATTCGTTATTTAACTGGGGGGTTTGTTTAACTGAAACGCATCGTTACACCAGGAATCTGGATGCACTCGTCCGAAGATAAAGTTGCACCAATTCATGCTGCTTTGGTTTAAATTCTCAATCTGTGACTGTTTCATGTATTTTTTTCCTCTGCAATTGCACATTTCCCAATAATTGGAGGTCTGGTTCGGGATTATGACCTAGTCATTGAGACAAAACGGTTCCGTTCAAGCTGACGTCCTAAAAAATTTTTTTATTTTAAACGATTGGAAATGTTTTTAGGAAGAAGAACCATCCGAATATAAAACAGTCTCACTCTAATAAATCCTGGACTTTAGTTTTAGATTAGGGTCGCAACAAATGTTACTGATTTTGCTTCTTTTCCTATTGATCTAACTGTTAACCAAGAATCACTAAAAGCCACTCATAGGCGGCAATCATTACTGAATGTAATAGAATATCCTCTCAACCCACTGTGGAACACAGGCCCGTAACGGAATCGAATCAAGTTCTTTCTTTTTTAAACGCAGATTTCAGTAAGAAAAACCGGAACAAATTTGACACCATGATGGCTCTTGAAAAATAAATCTGACAGTTCCTGCATTTCATGGACCATAGGGTTGGAATTTCTGAGCATGGTTAACTGATTCCAAACGAAGCAGCATTGAAGCATACCAGAAGAAAAAAAAAGTGGTTCCTTCTAGTTGAAAAGGTGAAGGGAACTACAAAAAGGAAAAGGCCAATGAATATATATATTTATCTCCGAAAACCTCTTGAAAGGCGATCTAGTGTGAAAAAGATTGCTGACGGGGGTGCTAATGAACAGTTAGGATAAATGAATGCAGAGTTATCACTACCACTGGACGTCATATCAGAGCTCAAACGACCAAACGGTTTAGTGAATTATCCCATGACGTACAGATGCCAACGAAATGGCCAGAAATGCCATATTTACACCCTCAGTGAAGTTGCACCTCGAAAGAGAACGACGTGGTGTACGGCAATAGATTAACTCCGACATCGTCCTTCTTGTCCTTACTCTGTAAAAATTGGGGTAATAACTCAGCTTAGTTTTTTTTAATGGACATTAATTTTAAAGAATAATCCCACTTTTAGTGTACATGGCAATTGACGGAATCTGAAACCGTTCGTGTGATTAGAGCAGAACGCAGTTTTGAAGCCGAAGGGAGCGGAGAAAGTAGCGGTGAAGGTTTGCAGTCCTTAAATATTTCGGTTAATTTTTTAATGAGTGCTTGGAAAACCTTCTTTGTTTCCAAGGTAATCTATTACACTTCCCAGCCAGTTGTAGACAAAAAATGAATGAAACGTTTTAAGAAAGATTCCAGAAGATTGTTCTCTTTTTGCTCAGAATTCTTCCGAACGGAAAAGCTGAAAATCTCCTTGGAAAGGAAATAAGAACACTGGAAGTGAAACTGTTTTTCAGGCAGTGAAAAACCTGAGGAAGGATCAGGTGAAGGATCAGGCGATGTTGATGTGGCAACAACCAGTGAAGGATCAGGTAAGAGATAGAACTTAAATAAATAATGGAATGTTCATTAGATATGCAACATGTTCAGCAGATAACGGTAATGTTGCTGAGATATTTGCAAAACTCCGGACCGCTGGTATCTGTGGTGGGGACCAAACGCGCTACTACCCTTCCTGGGGGATAACACATTCACAAGCAAACCATGCGAGTCTTTCGTTTCGCCTGTTTTTCAGCAGTGTTTTGCTGATTTGTGCTCCACAGATCAATCCCGTTAGCGGGTGATTGCTGATAACGCCTACAGGTCAATAACACGACTGAGAGACAGGCGAAATGAGAGAGTTGCATGGTGTGGTGGTGAACGTATCACTTGATACTTGATACTTGAATGGCCCGTTCTCACTGGCTGTGCACGCCCCGGCATAATCTCCATTTTTTGGAGATTTGATGGTTAAGCCATTGAGGTCATTGAGGTTCCCTGGAGTCCCAAGGTCAGCCTGGCGAAACTCTGTACCAGGCCTTAACCACCACAGGCAGTCGCAGCCGTTGTGGATCAGAGAGAGGTTTGCCACCATGCGACTTTGATACCAAGACGGTGGTGGGTCCTGGTATTGGTTTCCTCTTAGCTTTCTGATGGAAACGCCGGACTCCTTCTCAGCTTGGGAGACCACGTCAGGGATGAATCCCCTGCTGTACATCGCAGTCCGACACCCAGGAACACCTCCCAGCGACGATGAAGTGGTAAACCGTTGGGAGGGGTGGACGCATTAGTCACCAGAAAGGCTAATAACGCGTTCGGTCCCCATCATAGACATCAGCGGTCCGGAGTTTTGCAAATATCTCAACAACATTGTGGTTATATTGTTACATAATACGCTGCCATTGAAAAATAGTAGGCAGTAAATAAAAAACTTGACAACAATGTTCAGCACAGTTCTCGATTTTGAATCAGCTAGAACACTTTTTTCTCCTTTTTAAATGAAACTTAGAGCATATGGAAAACAATACGCTGTAAAACGCACCAATTCCGACGTTTGTTGACTTCTTCGTTCTAAACTTAGCAATGAAGGTTTCAGGCGGCGAAGCGAGTGGAGAGAATATCGAGAATAATGCCGTGACCGACAAGCCCACTCTACTCGCGTTCTTCTAAAAAGACATCTCGTACAGCCAATGGGTGAATTCGCCCACGTTCAGTACAGTGATCGCAATTTGTTCATGGAGAAGGCCACGACTAGCCATATCTATTCCTTGTACCACAGAGTATATATTGATTCTTCTTACGAATTTCCTTGACATTTTCCTCTTCTTGTCCAGCTGGCTCTCACGTTGGTGATTGTTATGCGGAATATTTCTGTTAGAAAATGAGAATATGTAGCATTCATTGTTTGTCGCCTTTGCGTTGAGTGGTTCATGAATGTGATTCTTGTTATCGCCGTTTGGAGATTCTGCTAAAGAGCCGTCGTCCTTAGAAACCTCGGTTGTTTGTGTCCGTCTAATTTTACTGAAAGATTGTGATTCGTCCTTGAGATATAAATTTATTTGAAGACATCTTTGTCGTTCGATCGGATTCGAATCATTACAGGAAGATCGTCTACTGCTGTTTGTCCACTTTCACTGCAGAGATCAATTCGGAGTTATTTGAAGACACCTGAAACATTTTACCGCCTTGCAATCGATACTCTTTGATGATTTCAGTACAAGCCACAGTTTCTGTAGAATTTTTAGACTAAAAGTTAAAACTAGTCAAGAATGGCTTTATAAAGACTATTTATGGATGAAAATGATGTCTTCAATTATTATATGTCTATAGTTACTCATTGAGCGTTCGAGTCCTAAGCTCGCAATGCTCGACGATGACGTGTTGATTGGAAAGAAATGTATGTCGTGGCCTGGTCGATTTCATTTGGTCTTTTAACCTCGCCTGTTATCATACTAAGAGACTGACGATGAAATGAAGTTGACATGCTTTTCATTTGTGCTGAGTATTACTGAAAAAGGCTATTTAATTCTACAGGCCCACTGTTGCTGCACGATCCCGGCTTTTAGGCTCACAAATAGAGTTTGGTGGAAAATTATAACTAAGGCGTATTGAAAAACGAAGTTATGCATAAAATCCTGCCTTTCAAGGGGCAGCGAGCGTTTTGTACTTGTTTCACACCCAGACAGTTATCGTTATTCTTTGAAAGACTCTCTCTTAATCCTTCGCATTCTTGTTGAGCAAACGCGAGGTGTTACTATTCTTTATTCACGAATAAGCTGATGTTTCGGCGGATTTCGTCTTCCTCAGAGCCTAGAAAGGTCAAGTTGACAGCAATCTACCCGGCCAGACACCTTCATAACCAAACAGTGAAAACGCTAAACCAAGATCTCAATCATATTGAACACAGCTCCGCACACTCACCGCTTTCTATGAGTCTTCCACCGAGTATGTCATGTGAACACCAACCGCACAGAATTCACACGCAAGCGTAATGTGTCCCTCCAATCAGAACAACAGGGTTATATACTGTCCAATATCACGCGTGATAATGAGGCATTCCTCCTTGCGGTTCATTTTCGGGTTTTTGGAATTAATCCAGAATGCTTCCAGAGTTTTGCGCGCTTGTGTTCTCGATTCTTGTGCAAGGATCGTGACACGTACTTCGAAGTCCTCCCCGTTATGTCTCTAGGTCCTATGCGTGCCTAGTGGGGTATTTGGTAGACGTTTGCCGGCTAGGCGTCCTTCTATGCGAACACAGAGAGGCCTGCCCGTTTCGCCAATGTATTAGTCTCCGCACGCCTTACAGGAGTTCAGATAAACTATACACGAACTCAAGCAGTGATCGTCTCTACCATTGGGCAAATTATGCAATTTTCCGTTGCACATAGACGGTCGTATAGGCGGTTTACGAACTAGCTGACGCCTAAGAGTGCTCGGTGGCATTTCAACTACGTTTACCGAATTCTCTAGAATCTCTCTTTCTCTAAATTACCGAACTCTGTCTTAAGCACTAATAATAGGCAATGAATAAAAAGTCAAACATTTTGACTTCGCCTACAGCCTCAACTTAACTGGGCTCAATGTCGATTTGTGCTCTCCAGATCATTCTCGCTGACGGGTGATTGCTGATGGCATGGCGAGGATAAAAAACTGCCTTAGAAAGGTAAAGCAAGTGTCTCGAAGGTGGTCTATAACACATGAGCCCCCGGAACAGGTGATCGCGGATTCAAATCTAGCCTGGAGTCCCAGTTTTGCAAATGTCTCAGCATCATCGTGTTTGTATCTCTTAAGTATTGATCAATTTCTTATGAATGCATTCGACTTCACTAAACATGAAAGAGGTGGATGAATTAATATTTTACCTATACGTTGACTGGCAGGGCATACCAATGTATCCTCTCAGACAAGTGAGCTAACAATTTGCCGACGCTGCTGGAAACGAGCGCTTGAATTGCCCGAAGCGCAGGGATAAGCCAACTACCCACGTGTGTTGCAACTGACATCCAACAACTACGCTAACTTTGCAGCCAATCGTTTAAGTCAGCCATAACGAAATATCAGACCATGAAATAATTTACAAAATATTTCACAAATATCTCAGAATCATTGTGGTCGATTTCGAATAATACTCCGCCGTGAAAACTGTAGTGGGTGGTAAATAAAAGTCACTTGATATTGAATTGCCTACCCTCACTAGTTGTGCGGGCCCTAGCACAATCTCCATTTTTCGGAGATTTGATGGTTAAGCCATTGTGGTTCCCTGGAATTCCGAGGTTAGCCTGGCCAAAGTCTGCCCCAGGTCTTCACTACCATGGGCAGTAGCATCCCTTGTGGATCAGAGGCAGATTTGCCACCGTGCGACTTTGATACCAGGAGGTTGGCTGATCCTGGTATTGGTTTACTCTTATCTGGGCTACCTGTCGGAGACGTCGAACTCCTTCCTAGCCTGGGAGACCCTGCCAGGGGATGAATTCCCCGTTGTACATCGCAGTGCGACACCCAGAACACCTCCCAGCCACGATGAGGCGGTAAACTATTGTAATTAATAAAAAAATGAACTCGACTGCAGCCTCAGATTAACTGGGTTCAATACCGATTTGGGCTACCCAGACCAATCCCGTTGACAGTTGCTTGCCGATGGCACTTTTAGATAGAAAACTAGTTGATAGAAAGGCGGAACGAAGGATGGGCATGGTGTGGCAGTGAACGTGTTAGCTCCCGAAAGGGTAATAGCGTGTTCGATCCCCACCGCAGCCACCTGCTGTCCGGAGTTTTGCAAATATCTCGACATCATTGTGGTCAATTTCGCATAGTACCCTGTCATGCAAATTGTAGTAGGCAGTAAATAAGAAAGTTAACATGACGTAATTGTTTCCTTAGACATTGAAACGATCTGTCTTCACATCTCATAAGGATGCCAGGATTCATTTTTGTGTTGCCTTGCAGCTGTCGTCCACAGAAGCTGTCAGGATTGTGTATTTGCCCGGATTCTACATAGACATGAGGATATCATCTTGTCCTCCTCATTGATATGTTGGATGCAAATCGAAAGAGGCTCATGAGGCCCTAAGACATTGATGTTGGAGTGTTTCCGGGTTTTCAACAAAAGTCATCGTCCATGCTAATGGATGGGAAAAGGCATTTGCTACCTTGCCATTTTTTTCTTTTTCCCAAATTCTCCACCGATTCCTTTGAGTGTACTTTTTTATTTTATTATACCCGTCTTCACATCTAATTTGCTGATCCCAGCACTTCTCACATCCAATTCGTTTCCCTGCACCCATCGCTGGCCGTTTCCTAAGTGTTTACATGTGGCTCGGTTGCTTCTTGAAGGTGTTCATTTCATCTTGAATGTCGTAGAATGCTGGTCGAGCAGTTCTCCCTGGAGTCCTGAGACAGCCGGGCTGGAGCGTTCCCAATTGGATTGCCGAGAGTGACTTTTACCAGGCAAGCCCGGCACTAATTTCCCGACTCCGACGGGACCAAAGGCTTGGTTGGCTCGGAGCGGAATCGAACTAGCACTATGCTCGTGATGATGGACATCACTACCACTATGCTATCTGTCCCATTGAATCTATTTAATGCTAGGATTAGTCGAATAACCGCTCGAAGACACACGAATCTCAAGGTCAGGTCATAAACTATGAAAATGAAATAACGGTGTTCCTTGTTATAAAGAGAAAACTTTTAAGTTTATAAATAAATGTAAATAAATAAACTCAGTGATCTTTATCTGAGAATTCGTTAATATTCTAGTTTTTAAGTGGCTGAAGTTCTTCTTTGGCTTCCACTACTATCTGATGTGATTTGTCATCCTGCCATGTTTCCAATGTTGTCACTGGTGCGTATTCCAGTTATCGCAGTTAGCTATTCCATTCGACACCAGCAAAGCCACCAGTGTCTTTACAGATAGGAAAAGCTGACGGAGAGCAATTTCTATGGAGGAACTGGGATTCACTTTATTGATATGGAAGAAATTTACTGAGTTTCTTAGAGTTCTGGAATTCCATAACTCTCTAAGAGCAAAAAATACCAGATACGAACTGAAGTGCTAAAGGTGTTAGGATATACACAAATGCACTGAAACGTTGTGGAATTGAAAACAGTGGAGGCACTGAAAGATTAAATGGTACTACGAAGTATGGAAGGCTTTGGCACCTCTTCATGAAGCCACCTTTTTTTTGGCAGTGGTAATTTCTGCAAGGGCTTAATAGCTTTTCATTTTACCTGAATACGTTGACAAATGGCGAAAAAATCTCCACATTATGTTTAATTTGAATCTTAAATCGAAAATGAATATTCTAATGTTTGCTTTTTCTCACATCAACTTACTTTCTCTATCAAATGGGTATGGAAAAAACAGTGCAGTTTTTCTCTAACGTGAATTTCTTAATACTCACAGACCACTCTATTGCATAGCAAATCGCTATGGAAATTATTAATACTGTTGCTGCAAATATTGGTATCTGGCAACCATTAGGTTGTAACATATGAAATACCCGATTTTAAATGCCATAAGTACCAACTTTTATTAATCAAAATAAAAACCATTTGAACATACACACTTTTGCCAATGAGAAACACGTTTATTTAACACAGGCGCATGAAATCCTGGAGTTATGGAGGCGATGGATTCGTTGGAAGAATGTTTAGCGTCATCGTGGTTGGTA